TCCTGTCTGTCCTGTCTGTCCTGTCTGTCCTGTCTGTCCTGTCTGTCCTGTCTGTCCTGTCTGTCCTGTCTGTCCTGTCTGTCCTGTCCTGTCTGTCCTGTCCTGTCCGTCCTGTCCTGTCCGTCCTGTCCTGTCCTGTCCTGTCCTGTCCTGTCCTGTCCTGTCTGTCCTGTCCTGTCCTGTCTGTCCTTTCTGTCCTGTCTGTCCTGTCTGTCTTGTCTGTCCTGTCTGTCCTGTCTGTCCTGTCTGTCCTGTCTGTCCTGTCTGTCCTGTCTGTCCTGTCTGTCTTGTCTGTCCTGTCTGTCCTGTCTGTCCTGTCTGTCCTGTCTGTCCTGTCTGTCCTGTCTGTCCTGTCTGTCCTGTCTGTCCTGTCTGTCCTGTCTGTCTTGTCTGTCTTGTCTGTCCTGTCTGTCTTGTCTGTCCTGTCTGTCTTGTCTGTCTTGTCTGTCTTGTCTGTCTTGTCTGTCTTGTCTGTCTTGTCTGTCTGGCTTCTTTCTGTCTGTCTGTCTCATGTCCCTCTGTTCTCTGTCTTGTCTGTGTCTGTGTTCTCTGTCCTGTGATGTCTGTGTCTGTCCTGTCTGGTGTCTGTCTGTTGTATGTAGGTATTTATTTATGTATGTATTATGTATGTATTATGTATGGTATGTATGTCTGTATGTATTTATGTTATCTATGTATGTATGATATGTATTATGTATGATTATGTATGTATGTAAAATGTAATGTATGATTATGTATGTATGTATTATTTATGGTATGTTTTTATGATTATGTAGTAACTGTTATGTATGATAGTATGTTTTTATGTATTGTTTATGATTATTTATGTATGTATGATATTATGTATGTAATATTATGTAATGTATTAGATTATTGTATGTATATATATGTATGTATGTATGTATGAATTATGTATGTAAATGTTGGTTATGTATGTTATGTTATTATGTATGGTATTAAATGATTAATTTAATGTAATGTAATGATTATGTAATGATGTAATGTATGTATGTATGTATGTATGTATGTATGTATGTATGTATGTATGTATGTATGTATGATTATGTATGTATGTATGATTATGTATGTATGTATGATTATGTATGTATGCATGTATGTATGTATGTACGTATGTATGTATGTATGATTATGTATGTATGTATGTATGTAATGTGTATATATAATCATTTATATATATATACGTATATGTAAATATAATATGTAAGTGTTTGTTGTATTACACGTCTATGCCACGTTCTATTACTTTCCTGACATTCAAACATTGCTGCCGTTGCGGTCAGCTTCCCCCGGAACTTCATCATCCCCGGCCCCGGGGGCCCCGCCTTGTACGTAGA